TCGCGCGAAACGCCCGCGTCCAGCCAACTTTCGCGCTAGAAGGGGCACTGCTAGACCTCTGAACGTCGGAGCTGTCAGTGCCGGACCATCTGTCAGCGCCGGGCCATCTGTCAGCGCCGGACCATCTGTCAGTACCAAGCCACCATTCAGTACTAGGCCACCATTCAGTGCTGGGCCATCTGTCAGCGCCGGGCCATCTGTCAGTACCAAGCCACCATTCAGTACTAGGCCACCATTCAGTGCTGGGCCATCTGTCAGTACCGAGCCTTTGGGCAGCGGTAGGGCTCCTACCAGAGAAGCATTCTTTACCAGCAACACATCTACTGGTAGTCCCTTGTCTTCTGGAAGTACCAGTGCGCCCGGCATTGGTGCCCAACATCATGGCTCTACAGATGCATCGGAGAGCGATTCCGAACCTCGAGTGGAGGCATTGCCGAGCCAAACGGAATTTTCCCACCTCTGCTGGATCTGTCGCCGACCGTTCCAGATCTCTTCCGGTATCAAGAGCAATTGGAAGTGTTTTCACCAACCACCTTCCACCGGAGATGATGGTGATCTTCTGCCTGCTCAAATGTGTGAATCCGGGCATAATCCCTCTATGCACGTTTGTTGTTGGGAGATTGTAAGGAAAGTTTTTGATGATTCGATTCTGAGTGTGTCTTACCGTTTCAAGATACTCGAACACCTTAAGATTCTGAGTCCTTTTGCGGAGCAAACTCCTTTTGATGTCGAGACCAACTCTATTGATCTAGAATTATTTACCGACTCAGATTCTATGTCCGTAATGTCGGACGAGGATGGCTATCAGCAAACGCGGCTGGAGGCTGTGCTTTCCAATGTCTCTCGATTACTTGATCAGAATCAAGCTATCCTGAGGATTGATGAATTGAAAAAAGTTGATCCTTGTCTAGCACAGTGGATGTCGATGGCAAATTCATATTCTGTGAGTATGAATAAATGCCCAAATGTGAGGCTCTCTTTAGAGAGGGTAGTGAAAAACCTCAGAGAGAGTGATGCTTCTCGATTTCCAAAGGCGTACAATTTCCGCGTTGCGTGGCACAATGTCCAGGAGGCGGTCCAGGCCATGGAAAGCTTACCTGACCTGGAGATGATTCCATTTGATAGCCAATTGAGGGGTGTTGGAAAGTATATCAGGTATCGTGTACCAGCTGAAAAATGTCGAAAGCTAAGCTTTTTCTTCTTTCCTTGCAAAGAATCCCGAGTATATCGATTGATTGGCTTAGCGTGTGATGGAAAGACCATCGGCTGCTGTCCAATCGGATTCCCTCATGTGCGCTTGATAAATTTCAAAGTTCAAGCACTAAGAGGCTTGCGCTTCGCTCAAACACATTCCGGGCAAATAACTGCTTTCAAAGTCAAGGACGACAAATATTGGGCCCGCAATTGGCACGGCGAGCCTCAGCACGCCTGTAATGAAGTCGAACTCCATTGGATCCAATCGAGACAAGACCTTGTTGTTTATTATGACGTGAGTATATTGTTGAAGCGTTCGTTTGAATCCGTGCTAACAACCCCAGGCGGACCAAAAAGAAATCAGATGGTTCACTGCAAATTCCTGATCCGATTGATCATTTATAAAGAACTGCTCAACCCCTTTTTCTGGATCTGCAGGTATGGCGCAAAGGGGTTGATTATGTTGATTATCTGCTGCTTGTTCCTACCGCTTGTATTTGAGATGTGCCGACCAGGCGAGTTATCTTCTCATGGCAGGAAAATTCCATGGAAACTTTTGGGACTTATTTTCTTGGGTGTAGATTAGTGTCATTGGTACTATCAAATGCGGCGAAGCGGAACCAAATCACCATGGAAAAAGTGATCAATTAGAAAGATAGACATGCAGTCTAGGGCTTGTTGAAATACCTCTCCCTGCATTTCATAGACCTCAGCAGTTGCTGCCTCGAAGCTACTGAACAGTTCCATGACCTCGGTTCTATTATAATCGCATCGTCTTCAGGATCAGTGAGATAAGTCAGGCTATGATTCACATCCCTGCGACGTGGATATTCGCGCTTTTTTTTGAATTACACATAGGGGCTGTATAGCAGATCAGCTCATTCGGCTGCTGTGGCGCAGATACATCTTTGCAAAGACACTTGGACCAGCCAGCCTAAGTCTTTTATATTTGATCGGCGGGCTGGTTAACACAATGGATCTGCTGAGAACAATGTCTTTCACGGGCACCGTCTGGCTTGCTAATCCACGATATATTCAATGAATGTCAGTACAGTGGCAATTTCAGCACGGGTTCAATGGGGAAGAACTTCTCAAGTGGCTCAGACACAAGCCTGCTTGACTTTGCAGTATCAAGTGAATAAATTGTAGAGCAAATTGCCGGGGTAGAGGACGTATTTATAGGCTTATCGGCTTCTGTGACTTACAAGCTTGGTAGGAAGCATTGAAGGACACCTATCCTAGTTGAGGTCCGTTGAAACTCATGTTTTCTTTTTGCCGCAATATTTGCAGCGACATACTTGATGCCTTTAGATACTCAGCGAGAGAGACGAATGAGTGTGGTGTTGATAAAAATGATGCGAAGTTGGTCAAGAAACGTTGGCTGACTGTGGAATCCTTCACGGCTCTCTAAAATTGAGGCACTGGGTACTACTCAATCCGCAATGGCAGGCTCATATTCCTTGTTCTGATATCTCACCTGATGGGAGGCCTTCATATACTCGTCTCGGCTAAATCCCTTGGTCCGCTAGTGGCGTAGCCTGTGGCTCCGTTGAGAGGTGCATAGCAATCGTATGGGAGCATCACAGCCTTGACAACAATGTTTGTGGAGATTTTCTAGATTCTAGCTCCTGGAAACAACTTTGGTGTTCCCAGCGGCGTGTCAAGGGCCCCGGGAGACCGAATCTGTCTTAGTACCACTTAACGCATCTATCGCCATAAGCGTTGAGGCAAATCACAACCTGCATGCACTTGGAGGTTTTAGGAGGCAACTCTCAATTTTGCCAACTATGCTACCAACAACAGTTGCCAATCCTTCTGCCAATGCATGGTCATCGCAATCCACAGCCACAACTGTAGCTATTTGGGCAGCAGCGATCTGGAATGATATCTCTTCTCGCAGGCCACTGATCGGCCTATACTAGCACACACTGCATCCTAATGCATTCGTCGACGCATCGACGTTTCAAGAAAGCATTCCATGCCAGCAGCCACGCAGACATGTAGGCAAGGAGCCTACGGCGATGGCATATAAAGCTGGCGAGGGAACGCCGCAGAGAACGCCCAACAGCACCAACAATCCAAGAAATCTTCTACCTTTGAAGATCGCATCAATGTTCACCACACTGCCGTGGAATCCGTTTCTTATTTGTGAGATAGAAGTCAGCCCCAATGACGGTCCTAGCTTCTGTTGCGGGATGACAAAGAAAGGCGCTCCGTGCAAAAACTCGATCAAACTTAAAGACACCAAGATAGGCCATCAAAAGCTGAACACTCTCACCAGAGAGCCGTTCCAATTGTCAACATTGCAATCCAAGCTTTGCGCTATTGCCAAAGAGTTCCTCTGCGCGAGATGGCACCGGCAGCGGCAGGCCGAACAAGTTGGCCAGCAGTGGTATGAAGCAGCCGTCCGCAACCAGGCGAGAGTGCCTCATGACTCTAGAGTTGCCACCCCATCCATTGTGCATCCGCGCCAGCGTCAGACGTCGTCAGCCTCCAGGAGACGCCTGGCGGAATCAGACAACAGACAAGACCCGACGGTGCCCCTGTCGACTAGCCCTGCGCCAGTGCAATCAATCAATCCCTTTGTGACTGCCGAAATGCTGCGGACCAACAATGTATCATGGCACGTTTCGCCGGCTCGACCCGCTACCCTGACCTCGGTCACTAATATCTGGGCCGGTGTCCAGGACTTGTCGCTGCAGAATCTCAGCTTGAGTGAAGATGTCGACGACATTCACTGTGTGTTTTGTTTGGTGGAGGACGAGGAACAAGCAACCGAATGCGTGATCCTGCGTTGCGGTCAATGCCGAGCGCAGGCCCATCTTTGCTGCGCGGAAGAGTGGTTGGAAAAGCGACGAACAGGCTTTGGCACGTCATGCTGTGTGTGGTAAGTATAGATGATCTCAGTTCTGCAATGTCGGGATGCTGATAAATGCAGTCGAAACGAAGGAAGTCTAGATGCCTTGATTCGTCCAGTCCGAGTCCCCTCGGCAACCGAGCAATCAACCGATAGAGAGCCTGTCACCGTCAGACATTCAGCACCAAACGAACCTCGTCAGAGTCAGCTGCCTCAGCGATCAATGGGATCCCCACGGGTGTCAGTCGAGCAGAGTGGGCTGCGTCGCTCAGCCAGAGTGGCAGTGGCTCATCTACCGCGAGACCCGTCTACCTCTGCACCGCTTCGCCGGTCGGCACGACTGAATTCCACTCAACGTAGGGGATTACAATTTATAACAATCGCGCGACGGAAATGTGAAATCTGTCGATCACACGTGACTGCACGTGACCAGACGCTGGCATTCGGACCAGCAACAAAGAGAAATGGAGTTTCGGAGCAAGCTTAGCAATCAAATGAATGAAATCCTGATCGTTAACCCCACAGAGAAATTCGCCACCGATCCACATTTGCAAGTGGCAGATGTTGATGAGCCTAAAAATGCTAATGATTCGGAGGACGCGAAATGATCGAATCGTCCTCGGGCCCTTGAACCAACCTCTTGCCACTCCACTTTGCCGAAGAGAGAGGGGCTACTGCGACTACAAGTAGCTGGATAATAGCTCATATATTGAACTGGATTGTCCCACTTGTACCTCAATTCAGTGTTTCAACTTGACGAGTCAGGGTACATTAATTATACACCCACACACACATACTGTACCGCTGGTGTATCTTCAGTGTACATTGATGGCAATCTGCAGTGGAGAACTGGAGAATTAAATGCAAATTGATGTGCGATGCTTTGTGTACTCTCTGGAAAGCGAGCTCAACGTCCGGTTCACTTACACGCCATTCAGGTTGAGTGTGTTTACCCAGGAGAAACCCGATATCCGAGTTCTGTGATTTTGTTACCCTGGTGACCATTAGCAAAAGTGTCTCGCAGTATAGTTGAGCAAAAGAACCTACATCATGTGATGCCACAATTTCACTGCTTCTAGAATCCCATTCAAATGTGGTGCAAGCACTGATTTCCGGACATTCCCCGTACCATTTGTCCTGCCAACTGAGAGTATCCTTTATTTGGATGCCAACAAAATGGTTCTCGACACTTGCGATCCTGAGCCCTGTCAAAGATGTCACATGAACAAACCGCCATATCGGGCCCTCATGGCCAATGGTTCGGCCATTGATAGCGATTCCACAAATAAATTGAATATTCTGAGTCTCATTGAACATGAAGACGATGTAGTGAGCCCCACAAAGCCCAATCGCGTATCGTACAGAGTTTTGGTAATCACCGACTTTTATACCATGCGTCACTGAGGCATCTGCTGGCACATTTGTTATCACCAACAGGGTATCCATAACGGTCCACAAAATCTCAGCGTTGGCCCAAATGATTCGATAATTAGTGGTCTTTGGGAAGCGGCTTTCTGGCTGCTCTTGCAGATTGCGAATAAGAGTTTTGATATTTTCTCTTGGGTCGAGATCATCTGCCAACATGTACTTGTACCCGAGCTCCCTCCATTGTTTGGGACAAGGGCCAACGGATAAGGCGTCATCAAGGTTGACAATATCTTCTTCTCGGTCGAGGAAGCAATAAATTCGTTGAATGGCCTCGGGGGGCAAAGGTATGTAGAGCGGACTTTGGGTTTTCTCCTTACGGCTGGCTGCCTTGAAAGTCATGAACACATCGAGATCCAGGGTATGGGATTCGTCGCAAAAAGGGGCTTCTTGCATAAAAGGAGAGAGGAGATGACTGTAGCTCTTAAATTGATCAATCCAAGCCTGGTCGAAATTGACTTTCCTGAAGATGCGCTTGACGATCCGCCAACAATAGTCATGCACAGTTGTTTCTTGCAATCGCTCCTCTTCCGTCAAGCGAATCATCTCCATGAAATGACGGTGTACCGGTTGTCCCGTTCTACTGCCATTCTCCTCCGTCCCTTCCTCGAGCAGGTAATGCCACGTTTGAGCTGCATCCAGATCACATTGGCACAATGGACAGTAAATTGACGGATTTGTAAGAGGCATTGATGAATATCCAGCCTGACAAAATGTTGCAGCGTCAGTAGTTTCGCTCCTTCAAAGGGTTGTCAGCCACGGATGCATCATGATTGAAACGGGAGAAACAGAGCAATCTCGGTCAATCGTAAATGCGACCGGATCCACACCAACCATTTAGCGAATAAATCCTCACGGATTTATCGTACCTTTGAAATCGGATTCATAGTTTTTAAATTATGTAATATGTTCCGCGTTACTTTTCATTATGCAAACCAATTGCCAAGGGTCCTTCAGATTACATACGCCCATCGTTGTAAAGTCACGTGTATAGTCCCACCTGATCGGAGCGAGACGCGATTGCATTAGAGCCCGGCGTGCGTTCGCCGCCACTTGCTCCCACACACGCTGTTTCTGTTTCTTGGATAAAAAAACTTACTTACGATACAATCACTATTCTTCCGGGAATACAATTGAGCAATTCAATATCCGATCAGTTCTCAATCTGACAGTTCTCAATCTGACCTGCTTGAATTTGCCGAGGCGGTCTTCAGCTTTAAGTTTAGGGACTCCTTGTTTATTCACCGATTGGATGCCACATCTTCCTACGCAGCCGCCCTTACCTCTGCAACCCACGAAGGCCCTGGCTTTCTCCCTTCGTATACTCGAACAGCTTTTCTCTTCGTCGCCCACCATGACAACATTGCAGCCTAGTTCGGCTGAGAAGACCATTTGCAAAACCCACATCGCTCAGGTAAGTAAAGAAAAAAAATATATACCAATCGGGGATTTCTGGATTGCAGCAATGAATCTGGACATCATAAGCCTCCAATATAGCCAACATTTCGCCCATCAAGGACTCCTTATGAAGAAGCCTAGCTAAATTTGTTCTGCGCCAGGTATCTTCAAATCTGCGGTATCGACTAGGTCTGGCCAAACTCAAATACCAACATGGTCCGCTTCACGGCCTGCACTCAAGCCAATTCTTGGACGGCCACAAGCCCCTCGACATCTCGCCGAGATTCTACGCAGTCGTTGCGGAACCCTGTTGACTTCTCCCCCTCTCCAAGCCTCGACCTACCAGGAACCACCTCAATTAGTCCGCAACAAGCATGCATTCTCCTTCCACTCTCCAGTGATGCAGCCGATGAGTTTTGCCAGTCGCAAGCGTCTCCAGCCGAATCCAGCCTCTGTGCGCCCTAAAAAGGTACCCCGAGTCTCGCGGAAGAGGTCTTACCGGCTGGCAAAATCCTCTCCTGGCGCGCAGGGGTATCCTACAGCCTTTATGGCTCCGGTTTTGATTCCAGAAACACCGTCTGTCGTTCATCAACTGTCTGACGAAGAAACCGATTCTGAGCTGCCGCTGCCTAATCGCCAGAATGCGAGCTCGACCATAGGTTCCTCCCCACCACTCATTTCCCCCGAAAGCACTCACGACTGGCACGAACGGGCCGGTATGTTGAAGAAGCGAATACGTCAGACTCGTCACCGTATGTGGTCGACTCCCCCCACCCCCGCCCATATAATTGGAAGTAATCAGGTCTTCCCCCCTTCTAGTCCTCCAAGTCAGCATGCAATTTTGCCATCAAAGACTCGCATACTAGATGGCGCGATGTTTGGGACCCTAGGAAATTCGAGCCCACAGTTCAATTTCGCCGATTTCGTACATCTAACTTCCAGCCCGACACAGGCAGCCTGGGACACCCGCACGCATGGCAATCCTCTTCGCACCCCTACCACTACCAAGGAGACTTGAAAATAATTGAGCATGAACTTCGAGACTCTGTATCTGTTGCGGGGAGTCTAAAGGGGCTTTGCAGCTTGATCTCAAACCGAGGCCTTGAAACCCACTCTCTGCCTCCCATGGCTCTTCTCCGCTCGTTTGTGCCAAAACCGTTCTAATTTTCTGATTGTGCTCCTTCGGAAGGCAATGCGGTTCCTGCTGGACGCTGGCCGCAATAGCAATGCGCAAGATCCCTATACACGGTGCTGCTACTCTGCTGATACCACGAGCTAGCACTCACTCCGCATCTGCTGCAACACGAAGCAGACCCTGACATTGTGGTGGAGCTACCGATACACACCACATATTTCTTCCATCACCATCTGCAATATTCAGATTAGTTCGATACCGTTTATAACCACCCAACTTGCTGATGAGCTAGCCGCCAACCTGAAACAGACCCACACGTCCTTTGCATCCCAGCCACCACGAATTAAATCGCTCTTCCACCAGAGTGAAAGAGGGGTTCGAGACTTACAGGTGATTTGATTCTTGTCTCTGTATCCCAACGCGAGTAACAGGTCTGTACCCAATAGCTTACTATCAAAAGTACCTACCAGGAGCGCCTTGTCAATTTGTCGATTTTGAGCCTTATTGGTCTAAAATTTGAAATGACTTTGTTTAAGCGCTTGGTGGGTCAGAAAACAGCAGTTATATGAGCATTCCGAACAAACTTAATTATCTTTAAATAAATTTCATCATACATGAGCTACCTTGAGCGCAGCGACATTTTCTACCACTCTAGAGTGCCCCTCATCCGAAAACCTTAACCCTTGGTGCTTAAAGGTGGAAACAAGTTTCTTTTGAAGATGATTGAGTTCGTTCCCGACATTCACTAACCAACAAATTAGACACATTCACTCGTCGATGCCATTTTGGAAGGGCGTGAAGAAGATACCAATGCACTCCTACAACTTGCTCCAATAAATGAAAGTTCGCTGTAAGTAACACCTCTGATTGCCGCTGCAAAGGTAGGGCGGCTGGATCTAGTTCTGCGGAGAGGAGCAGACCCGAATGCTGCAACTGAGATTGAAAAACAGATTGCCCTATATCAGGCAGCGGAAAGGGGCCATGTTGAGGTTGTGAAGATTTTATCCTCACTAACCGGGAAGAATATATTTGCTTGGCTTCACTGGACTCCGCTCCACGCCGCTGCAATCTCTGGCCATGCACAAATAGTTCAACACTTGCTTGACGCAGGGTTTGACCGAGGCGATCAGGATGAGGGAGGAATGACTGCGTTAGCATGTTCTGTGCAACAAGGGCACCTTGATGTCATCATACTTCTGTTGAGAAAGGGAGCAGAAGATCTACCCGACAAGCGGAAAGATCATGCTTTTAGATCACGCCGTGGTCTTGCGTGAAGGAAAAGACAATGAGGAAGTATTGAACTTGCTTCGGTGAGCAGACCTTACGAAAAGAATCCTTAGCTCCCAGGCATTTGAAGCATTCAACAGACACAACGGGTGGAAACTTGGCACCTTCGGTGTGTGGTTCTGCGGAGGGCCTTGAAATAGGAGTGCAACCATTGCGCTTATAAGAATTCTCATTGCTCTTGGCATTGGTATGAGGGCGCTGAAGAAACAATCCTGTCTCCCGAGTCGAGTGGAATTTGTCTTCTGAGGATGCTCGTTGCAGTGGCATAGAATTATATTTTTTGTCGCTTGGTTTTATTGTTACCACCCGTGAGTTCGAAACGTTCATCAATAATTTTTAGAACACTGTCTTGACCTTTCAAGCTAAAGAAACATTCTTGAATCAATTTGACCTTCAAATGCCTGGATACCGGGATGGGCGTACAAGCGAAAGGATTCTCTGACGAGAAATATCGTTATCTGGTGCTGTTTTGGGGCCAAAATTTCCCCAGCATATATTGCCTTGTCTTCAGTCTCTGAGACACGTTTTTTGAACTGATAAACTATTGTCAGGATGAGGAATTGATGTACTGGCTAGTACTGAACATGTCCAATAGAATCAGGTGATTGATTGTAGGTGTTAGAGATCGGTTGAACGATCTCAAGGGTCTATCCAAATAAGCTTCGGCGTGTTATAACACCGTACTTCCGAATGTGCCCGGAATACCGTACAATTACTAGGGGAAACTGGTGAACGATGAGTAAGCTTGTCCCAAAGGGTCCTAGTGGTATTTGACCACTCTCAGTTCGTCAAAATATGCTACCTCGTCTTGTAACTGTACAGACAGTAGTAGTAGTAGTAGAATTCATTTACCCTGTCCCCTCGCGAGTTGGATTCTAAACCACAACCCACTAGGCTGGGTACGGATTCGTATTTTGGTCTAGCTGGGAAATCAACTTCGCGAACGATATGCAGGATACAACAACTATATATCATGGATGAAGTACATGTAGAGTGATCCACTTTCTGACATGAACTTAGAGCCTCGTCACGGCCTACCCTGGCCCATTGCCGCTCCCGTTGTTAGGCTGCCCCTGTGGCGCACGACTGCGAAACCTCTGTGACGCCTCGGCGAAGTCCAATACGGCCTGAACCGTCTTCGCCCTCGAGACGGTGTCTGGATTACCTCTCTCACCTTCGGTTGAGCCTCCCAGCAGGCTCGACACGCTGTTCAACGCGTCCCCAACACTTCTTCTTAATTCTATCCGCAAGTCTCGTAGTTTTGGACATTCCAGCAACACATGGCTGACCGTCTCCTGCGCGCCGCACTCGCATCGATCATCGTCCCGGAAGCCAAATTTCTTGGCGTAGGTGGATAACCAGTTATGGCCCGTGCGCAGCTGGAGTGAGCAGGTATGCTCGGTTCCTGGGCAAGCTTCCGTACATTTTCCTGGTGTACCTCGCTGGTAGTGTGAGGGTCTCACGTATCCGTAGATGAGTGATCAATATTAAAGAAAGCTATAGTCGACTCTAGATACAAGACGTAGCGCGAGGAAGCAAAAGGAACGGGCTTCCTCGCGTTCAGGGGAACCCATATGCACCATGTGGGTCCCGCAGATCATTTCTCCAAACATCCTGTATACTTCAGGTAGATCCCTGACATTACCCCCCTCCTAAACAACTAGGAGCTCCTGCGACGCCATAGCTCAGTAGGCGAAGGTCGATCTGGGTTCTGGTTGTGGAACTCGTACAAAAGTTCGCCACTCCCTGGGACCAGGTCCTGTTGGGGTCGCCACGAAGGAGAGTAGCCTTTCCATCTCACGTAGTACTCCAGTCTTCTCTTTCCATGTCGATTCTTGGTGATGCGTGAATCCAGTATCTTTTCAATCATCCACTCTCTTCTCTCGGTGTTATCTTTATTCAATCTGATTCGGGGTTGAGTAGATTCGTTCTGGCTAGGGAGGGGATCCGAAGCTGCTGGGCGGAGCAAGCTCGTGTGGAACACGTCGTGAATTCTCATCGCTGGGGGAAGCTCCAAACGGTACGTGACTGGGCCCATGACTTCTGCAATTCGAAACGGTCCAATGAACTTCTCCGAGAGTTTCCTGGCTGGTCTTTCTATACTCAAATTCTTTGTCTCGAGCCACACTTCGTCTCCCTCACGATAGTGTGGTGCTGGCATTCGGTTCTCATTTGCGTACTCGGCGTGTTGCGCTTGGGCCATGGTCATCTCCAAACGTAGTATTTCTGTCAATCTTGCCATTTCGTTGGCGAAGGCGTCCGCGGTGCTGATATCTATCTGTTGCTTCGCGGGTAGTTTTCGTGTTCCTTGGGGCGGCTCATGTCCCATTCGGGGATGTTGTCCGTATACGGCGTAGAAAGGTGTCACTCCTGTTGTCGCTGACTGATGATTATTGATCGCAAATTCTGCAAGAGGTAACCAGTTGACCCAATCGTCCTGCGAATAGTTGACGTAAGCCCGGAGGTACTGCTCTAGCCCCTGATTGGAGTTTTCCGATTGACCGTCTGATTCTGGGTGGTAGGCTGTCGAGAGCCTAGTCGAGATTCCTAATCGCTGGCAAAGCCGCTGCCAAAGGCGGGAGGTGAACTGTGTCCCTCTATCTGATACAATCGTCGTTGGTAGTCCGTGGTGCTTCCATACATGGTGCAAGAACAACTGTGCCGTGTGCTTTGCATTCGTAGATCCACATGCAATGAAGTGTCGTTGTTTCGAAAGTCGGTCGGTCACGACCATGATGTTCTTGCAGAACTGGCCTGTCGTTTCGTTTTTACTTCTTGGTAGCTCGACAATGAAGTCGACTGCTATGTCTTCCCACCTGCCATTCGGCGTACCCAGAGGTTGCAAAAGCCCCTGGTATGGCAGCCGTGACGCTTTGGATCGCGAGCAGGTGTGGCAATTGCGTACATATCGTTTAACGGCTTGGCCCATCTTGGGCCAGTAGTAATTTCGTGAAAGTAGTTCGTGGGTTTTGGCTCTTCCTGGATGCCCCGCGGCGGCATTGTCGTGGCATGATCGTAGAAGACGGAGGCGTAGTTCATCATCGTCCGGCACAAACATTCGATCTTTCACAAACAGTCTTCCATCTCTTTCTACCATCTCGTTGATGGGGATCTTGAGTCGAGCCAGCTCCGTCGGGAGCTGGCGGTCGTGCTTGTCCATAATCTCTCGTATCTTTGCAGGTATTGGATCTTTTTTATAAGCAGCGGTGATCAAATCATCGAGGGGTTGCTGCGTATCATCGTGGTTTTCGTGTAACGTGTTCTGCTTCAAGGCAAGCGGGTGCATTCCGGGTGAGATGTTCTGCGGCTTGATCACTGTCTGGTCCTGATGTCGTAGTCTCTCGTCGTCATCCGTCTGTGGCATATCTGATGATCGTCTTGTCAAAGCATCTGGTTTCCCACCCTGTGTTCCTGGACGATAAATGAGTTTGAACTCGAACCGTGAAAGAAACTCGCTCCATCGCGCTTGTCGCCGACTGAGGCGCTTGGTTGTCATGAAATGTTGGAGGTTCTTGTGGTCGCTGATCACCTGTACAGGAGTTGCTGCACCTTCTAGCTCGGCTCGCCATTCTTCAAAAGACTGCACCACGGCCATTAGTTCTTTGTCGTAGATATCATAGTTGCATTCCGCCGGTGACAGCTTGCGGGAAAAGAATGCGACTGGGTGCAGGGTCCCATCTGGATCAGGCTGTGACAAGCAGCCTGCATTGACGTAATCTGATGAGTCGCACTCGATAGTGCTAGGCTTGTCTGGGTCAAAATGTCGTAGAATTGGTGCTGAGGTGAACGCTTCCTTGAGTTCTTCGAATGCAGTCTGGCATTTGTCATCCCATGTGAATGGGGTATCTTTCTTGGTCAATCTGGTGAGAGGGTTGGCTTTTGTGGCAAATCTTTTGATGAACCTTCGGTAGAAATTCGCAAATCCGAGAAAACTTTGGATGTCCTTGACATTTTGTGGGGTCGGCCACTCTTTGACGGCGGAGACCTTCACTGGGTCCATCTGGATGCCGTCCGTGCTCACGATGAGGCCCAAATATTTCACTTCCTGTACGTGGAATTCGCACTTTGCAATATCGGCCTGTAACCCATACTCTTTCAGGCGTTGCAATATTTGTCTCACGTGTCTCTTGTGTTCGCTCAATGAATTGCTGTAAATCAAGATGTCATCCAAATATGCTGTGCAAAAAATGTCGAGGTACTCTCGCAAGGCATCGTTCACATAGTGCTGGAAGGAAGCAGGGCCATTCGTTAGCCCGAACGGCATCACAAGATATTCGAACAATCCATATCTCGTCCGGAACGCGGTCTTCCATTCGTCTCCCTTGGCGATGCGAAGACGATTGAACGCCGCTATGATATCTAATTTGGTGTAGTACTGAGCTTTGCAGAGCCGATCCAGGGTCTCTCGGATCAATGGGATTGGGTATCGGTTCTTCACCGTGAGCGCATTGAGAGCTCGGTAGTCCACACAGAATCGTAATCCGCCTCCCGGTTTTCGAACAAACAGAACTGGAGAGGCGGCGGGTGATCGCGATGCTCGAATAAATCCTTTCCCTAAGTTTTCCTCCAGGTATTCTCGTAAGACGAGGAGCTCGTCTCGGGACATGTCGTACAGCGGGCCGAATGGCGGCTCGGTGCCTTCCTTTAGCCGTATTTTGTGGTCGTAGGCGCGGTGCGGTGGGAGCTTGTCGGCTTCTGTCTGCGAAAACACGTCGAGAAACTCATGGTATTCCGGCGGTAGTTTTTCTTTGGGTTCAATTTTGGTCTTAGGCGCCAGTGCTTTCTCGATATCTGCCATCGAGGCAGCGAAAATGGTGAATTCTTCGGATTTCTTTCTTGCTTTGTCTGTTAGGTAGAGAAAGGGGGACGCTCCAATCATGCGAATGTCGAGCGTATTCTTTTCGGTATCTTTCGTCGGTTTCTTCATTGGATCTTCTTTCGTGATTCCACAGATCACAATCCTCTTCTTCACTCCACAGTGTTCGTGACAGTGAGCAGAATCGAATGTCAACGTGTTCTTTTTCCATGAGATTGTCACATCGTGGAGCTTCAGCCAAGGGATTCCGAGCACAATCGGTTGCTGGCTCAACTTGGTCACAAAACAGGGCAGAGCCTCTCTGTGCCCCTGTATGTTCATGGGTATCCGTGTCATATGGGTGATCCGCCCCGCGACCGATTGTCTTCCGTCAACGACCTCGAGCCGTCGCGGGTGACGTAACAGTTCCAGTTTCAAATCGTGTTTTTGCGCAAAGGTTTGATCAATAAAAGCCATTCCATTTGCTCCGCTATCGACAAGAGCATCTATCTGCACACCCTTTCCGTCCTTGTGCAGAGTGCATGGCAGGATGAGGTGGTTACCATCGAGGTTCACCCTCTGCTGCCGCACAGAGCAAGCGGAGATTCTTATTGATCGTACTTCGTACTTCGTCCGTCCTAAATCGCGACTTCGGTCTAGGACATCTCTTTTCCCTCAACGACGGTGCTTTCATCGTCGATGTCGGATTCCATCGTCGCATGGTTTACCTTCGCTGTTCCGCGACCAAGGCGTGGCATCTCCTTCATCTGCGGGTTTGTGCACTCGTGGATTCGGTGTCCATGCTCACCGCACTTGTAGCATCGGCCATGCTGAGCAAGCAAGGCGCGATCTACCGGGCGCGGAACATAGCCTTCAGATCGTGTGGCGAAGGGTGTCTGTCTTGGACGTGATTTTTCGTATTGCTGATTGGTTCGGCCGGTGCCAATGACACGGCTTGGCAACCTTCTTTCGTAATCACGCATCTCGTGATCAACATCTCGATAGAAATCTACCAGGTCGTAAAAGTCTGCGGGTTTCTGCAACCCGATGACTTGTCGGGCCAACTCGTTTGAGATCGCGTTTTCGAGTAGTGGTATCATAGCATCTTCAGCATATCCAACTTCCGCAGCGCAGCGGGCGAAGTCGGCATAGAAGTCATCAAAGGTCCTTCTTCCCATACGCAGGGTGCGCAGTTCGTTGATGGCCCGTTTTCTCTTGTTCTTATCGCCGTAAATCTTTTCTAGAGCTTCCAATGCATCTTCAGCAGACCGAAAGCTGCGCGGATGGTCGGGTCGACATTGGGCTCGGATTTGTTGATAGGCGATACCGTCAGTGCGGCTGCGAATATAGGCAATTCGTTGCTCTTCATTTGGGTACTGAGCGGCGCTGTTACTCAGCTTGTCATACACCTTGTCTCTCCAGCTATCAAACGCGCCGCGATCTCCTGAAAATACAGGCGCATCAGGAAACTTTGGATTATCGAAACGTCCCGGACTGGAGTAAAGCAAGTGGGAACCGTCTCGTCGTATCGGTTCAGTCCGAGCCTCCAGGGAGACATCGCGTCGGGGAACACGACTGTTGGTGTTTCTTTCCGGAACCGGCGTCGTTTGTCTCGCCGTATTCATCAACGTATTGATTGACTGGTCTCGCTCTCGGTAAGCTCCGTCCAACTTCGAGGCCAGTTCCTCGACTCGCTTCTCTGCCAAATCTCGTTGCACCGTCATACGGTCTCTTTCACGTCGCAGTTCTCGGTTGTCTTCGCCTAAACGTATGACTTCTTCACGAATCAAATCATCGGTCACTTGGTTTGTATTCATTTTGGCTTGTTTGTCCATGGCGAGCATAACGTCCCACCAGAACTCGAAATGGTGTCGCAATCGTGCCAATTGTTGCGCTCTATCTAGAACACAGATCGCTCGAGCAGGACGTAGCGGGTGATTCGGGCTCACGTAGTCAAACGCATCAATCATCGGGGTCGTGCCCGCATTTTCGGGCAGTACTGTCCTGTCGTCTTCATTACTAGGCTGGTAATCGTCGTCGTCAGATCCGTCATCGTCGACGACGGTGGCTTCTTGTGCCATCACGGTTTCTCTTCTTGTTCTTCCTCTCCGTTCCATATCCTCAGGCCCTCGAGCGCTAAGGGCTTCGTTAGATTTGGACGTCATTGTGTCTTTGTTGTCGTCGGTTGTCTTTGTTGTCGTCGGTTGTCTTTGTTGTCGTCGGTTGTCTTTGTTGTCGTCGGTTGTCTTTGTTGTCGTCGGTTGTCTTTGTTGTCGTCGGTTGTCTTTGTTGTCGTCGGTTGTCTTTGTTGTCGTCGGTTGTCTTTGTTGTCGTCGGTTGTCTTTGTTGTCGTCGGTTGTCTTTGTTGTCGTCGGTTGTCTTTGTTGTCGTCGGTTGTCTTTGTTGTCGTCGGTTGTCTTTGTTGTCGTCGGTTGTCTTTGTTGTCGTCGGTTGTCTTTGTTGTCGTCGGTTGTCTTTGTTGTCGTCGGTTGTCTTTGTTGTCGTCGGTTACCAAGGTGGGCGCTACGTAATGTGAGGGTCTCACGTATCCGTAGATGAGTGATCAATATTAAAGAAAGCTATAGTCGACTCTAGATACAAGACGTAGCGCGAGGAAGCAAAAGGAACGGGCTTCCTCGCGTTCAGGGGAACCCATATGCACCATGTGGGTCCCGCAGATCATTTCTCCAAACATCCTGTATACTTCAGGTAGATCCCTGACAGGTAGCGCGCCGTCCACCTTCCGTAGGTGCGCGCCTTTGGTGCTTGACTTCCACTCCTGCTCCCACTGAGCATGGGCCTTGCTGCGGAGAAAGGCGTTCTCTCTCGTCAGCAGCGACCGGAAAGGATGGGTTTTGCCCGGTTGCGCGGCTTCTTTGGCGAGTCGATCCGCGGCCTCGTTCCCGACAATTTCACAGTGTCCCGGCATCCACTGGAGACGGAGGGAAATATGCCCTGCTTGAACCTCGGTGGCTGCTTGGAGGATTGCATGGATGATTCGTTGCCCTGATCTATTTCTCACGTTCTGGATTGCTTGCAAAGCGGATCTGCTGTCGCAGAGGATTGTTGCTGTTGCTTGCCTTTGGTTTCCAAGGATTGCGCGTTGGTGAGCCAGTTTGAATATCATGCTAACCGCGTAGAAGATCCCCATCAGTTCCGCTACATGAACCGACCACCGTTCCATCGACCCCACTTGCACCTGTTGCGAATCCGTTACCTCATCATTGTCGTTGAGGGCGACGATGGCGGCTCCTAGATGACCCTCGCGCCCGGAGGCGTCCGAGTAGACGACAATGTCCGATGTGTTCCTTGCACCCTCTGCTCTTTCTTTGGCCGTTTCCCTGTCGTGTTCGATTTCGATGTCCGTGAAGGCGTCCGGGCGCCAGGGGGCAGCGGACGCGGGTCAATTGGGCAGCGGTGGAGAAACAGTTGCTAGCGTGGGCGTATCTATTTCGACCCCTCATCTGAGATTCATTAGCTGCTTGTGCGTCACCCGCGAGTTTAGCTGATGCACCGGCTCGGACCGATCATAAATCCGAGATCTTCCTATCGACACCCCGCACCCCAGACGCTTACAACTCTCCACCTCCTGGTTCTCCCAATGATCCACCACTACATCTCATTTTTTGGGCTATCATCATGAGTAACCCATCATTGGCCAATGTGAGTAATAGCTTTGCCATTCGAAATGAAAAAAAAAAAAAACTCACATGCCATATTTAGGACCTTACAACCGAGTCAGCTAGTCGTAAGTTGATGAATTTAACGAACATAATTTGTCTGTGGATGACTAAACTATTCATCCAAAGAGATAGAGGCTTCGATTATCATTGAATCTCTTCCGAACGAAATCAAGCAACAAAGAGCGGACATCATAGGGGATTTGCACAATGAGCCACCCTCAGTGGAATTACAAGCCTATTTCACCAAGCTGAAGGAAGGCTCTGCTACGTGGAATATAGAAACCTTGATTGAAGGAATGAGGAGCTTTGCTTCTTTGTATGGAACCGAGAGGCCCAAGTATTACAGCAGTGCACTCAAAGGGCTCCACCTTCCAAATTTCTTCACGGAATTGTGGAATCGAACATATACCCAGCATCCAATCACCCTCTGGGATCGGGATATCCGACACTTATGTCCCCCTGGATGGTCTTATAGACTTGAACAGACTCATCCTGTATTACTATACGAAGGAGAACAAACTTCAAGCCAAGCCTTCAACATCCTGATTCGAGGACCGACGACTGCTGACTGCGGTATGATCTGTCAAATTGCACCGGTAATGGCAATTCGTTACGCTATAGGGGACACCTTATTTGATCAAAGTTTCAAATTTGAGAAGGGGCAATTGAGAATCCAACAGAGTTGGGAGACGAGTTTTCTCGAGTCATTTTTGGATCATCCTGTCCATTCTGTCAATTCGCAACCTCGATTCCAGCTCAAAACCTTTCATAATCATCCAAGTTATCTTGATAAGCATCCAGGAGGTGAAGCGCGCTTGCAAAATATTGTGCAGATTGATTCTTCCTATGTTGCTTTCGCCCAAGGTGGGACTGCAAACATCCTATCAGGACCGGAGCTTGAAAGTCGTCTCATTCAAGACTATAACAGATCTAGAGACTTTGCGGACTTGGAAAAGCTATGGATGTATGAGGTAGGACCAGATTATGTACATCCAGATTTTGCACCAAAAACATTCGGAATCCTAGCGAAAGAAGCTGAGAAATATGGGGATCATTTTTTGACCAAAGAAGAATGGGAGGAAAGCCGAGCGGAGAGAGAACGGATGTCCCAGGGCCTACATCGAATTTTCAACTTCCAACGATTATTTGATTGTCTGAGAGACAAGGATGCGTCATGTGATGGAAACGCCTTACTCAGGGCAAAGGAGATGAAGATCAACTACCTCATTAGCAGGCTGCGTTTAGAACATGATTTTGGCACTCGATAGGCACTAAATGATAAGGGTTTCTCTTACTTGCTTTGCGTGCTTTGACTTATGATGTTTGACTGCTCTGAGTCAAGGATTCATGCTAGATAGATTTGTACTGTAAGCCTAAGATATCATGAAAGTAGTCACAACGAAGCCGTGGAATAGAGCGTATTGGTTAAGCCGATTTCGAGAGCGACTGTATCACCTAAATTAGACTCGGAGCTAGAAAGGATCATGTCAGCTTAGTTGAGAACTTAGGGATATCAGCTTTCAACGGAATCTCTACAGCTAGGCCAGTGTGTCGAAAATGCCCCTTCCCACTCTTCACCCTCGCCCCAACAACATCAACACACCATTCGAGGAAGCTATCGAATCCTTGCTCAAAATGTCGCTGCAAATAGTTGCGGTTGAAAGGAGACATGGGTTTCAACAGGGCTCAATTAGGACAGGTCTTCTTCAATGCTGCCTGCCCAGCTTCCAATTGACAGAAGCTGAGAAGCCCATAAAGACTTCCTCTACCCCCAGCAACTTGCTCTACGATTTATCCCCTTGACTCTGCAAAATCGAGCAGGCTTGTGTCTGAGTCACTTGATAAGTTCTTCCCCTTGACCCGGTACTGAATTCCACTGTACTGACATTCATAGAATACATCGCGGACCAGCAAGCCAGACAGTGCCTATGAGAGATACAGGTATGATTCCCACCAGATGCACTGCCATTCACACCAGCCGATTAAAGATGTATATGCAAAGATGCCTCCGCCACAGCAGCCGACTGAGCTGATCTACTGTACAGCCTCTGTGTATTTCCAAGAGAAAGCGCGAATGTTCACGTCGAGGTATGTGAATCTTAGCCTGACCTGTCTCACTGATTCCGAAGACGATGCGATTTCAATAGAACCGAGGACAATTGACCACAATACACGAGCGCAAGAGTCACAGCTCTTTACCGTATCTTCGTCCCTAGTCTTGGCCGCCAGAGCATGTGAGTCATGGATTATGTCGCCGATCTACAAGCTAATGAACGATAGTGAACATCGACATTGCACCAGAAGTCCCCGAGGATACAGCACCCCCGTCAGTGCTCTGCACAAAGCCTTTGCCTACACACTATTCATGGCCCCGTCGCATCAAACCACGCAGCAAAAAATCAGGTGAAGAAGGAACGGGCTAATAATAGGTGCGGACATCCGATCGCGAGCTTCGCTGCACAGAAGCTTGAGAAGTCCATTCTTCATGGCAATCTGAGTGATTTATCGCATCCTCTGCTGCGCTATATGAGTTGTTGCGAATTTTCGTGCTCCAAATCACCAATACCATTACTGATTTTCATGCCACTGTAGGAGCAGCCATCGCCACTGAAAGATACCCGTTGAGAGTCCTATCGCCGGATCGGAGATAAGACCACGTCACTACGACGCGTGATCCATCGCGTCTTCCGGCTCAACCTCACCGCCCTCACACCATGAACGGCGGAGTGTATGAACCTCTGCCGTTCCCATCGCGAGGTTTTATCCCATTAAGGCTGTACAATTTCCTGTCACAGGTTCGTCACGCGCCTTTGGCTCTCAGAAGTTGCCCGGTGCACCCAGCGCGGCTTATTCGAAGCGATAGCTGGAGAGTGCGACAAACTGGATACAACATCATGTCAACATAGCATGAATGGTGACTGCATTGATGAAGACAATTGTACGTGATCTCGTCGGTAAGATATGACCACGAAGCTGATTGATCGTTTCGTCTCAAGCGAACGTTCTGCGAACTAAATGAAAAGGTAAATTATGAAATCTCGTCCAAGTGGTAAGCCTTACTGACTCGGATCGTACAACAGCGCCCCTCATATTCCCGTCACTCGAGTCGAATGCGAAGCGAGCAATCTTGTCTGCTCGAGCTTCTCTATACCGATGCGATCGCAAGCTATCTGTCCCTTCATCATTACCACGGTGGGATGGACGAGGAATGAATGGAATGTTCACATCATCTCTGCCCTTCTCTCAGTCGACACTATGCATCAGTAATGTGCTGATGTGTCTACCGATACAAAATCCAAAGCATAATGGGCTAAACCACCGTCTGTCTCGGTATTAGAACACCGCGAAAGAATAGGTTCCTTGTGGATCGAATTCCTGGCGTCCAATGGGTGATGCTCATTGTCCTCGGTTGGCATCTCGCGTCTTTTCAGTCCTGGAACTCCAAAAGACCGAGGAATGTTGGTGGTCTTGTCCACAGCCCGGCCTTTTGGAAGCAACGGCCGGAGAGCGCGGTGAACCAGAACACAACATGGCGTCAATGGTGCTGCATTGCCTTGCCGAAGAGGATTGTAAGTGATCTGTTTGGCAACTTCATATGACCACGAATATCGCTGATCGTCTCGTCTCAAGCGTACAAAGCGTGCCCTCTGCGAACTCTATGAAAGGTAAGTCATAACAACTCGTCAAGTGGTAAGCCTGGCTGACCCGCATCGAACAACAGAACGCCCTCATTTTCTCTGCTCGAGCTCCCCTCTACCGATGCGATCGCATACTGTCTATCATTTCCACATAACTACTGGTGGCATCGATGATGAGCCAATGTAAGGTCCAGGTCGTCTCGGCCCTTCTCTCGGTCGACTCTGTGCATCAGTCATGTGCTGATGTGTCTACCCGAGACAAAGCTCAGGCCACAATGGGATTATACCACCGTGTCTCGGCATTCGACCACCGCGAAAGAACAGCCTCCTTGTGGATGAAACTCCTGACATCCAATGGGTGATCCTGATTATCCTCGATTCGCATCTCACGTCTTTTGATGCCTGGCAGCTCGACAGGCACCGGGATGAGCTCATGTTTCAGTCTGGCTCATGGCGGACGGGTCCCACTTTCGCCAGCGAGCAGGCTGTGAGTCTAAGTCTGCGTGCAAGGAGAAGGTAAGGGAAAGGTCCCTTCAGTTCGAGCCTATATATTAACAATGGCTATATCAGGTACGCTCCGAGAAAGGAGACGGTCTGCTCCCGGGTCATAGCTGAGCCAACTAAAGAGCCACGAGCTAAGAATCACCGACCGATACTGTTTTACCTAATCGTACTCCGCCTTGCTGAGTTGTTAGACGTATTCAAGTGGGTGGAACCTACCAAACGGAAACGAACGAGCGAAAAGGAACAAATTGGACATACACGACACTGCATGAAGGGCACTGTCAGAAATACTGTGGTGTCTTTGGACAGATTTTGGCAGATTTGATGGGTGTGCAAAGGCCATTTACTCTGGGTATCACTGCAGCGGAAGCGTAGGCTGAGCGTAAGCGTAATATCTTCACTGGCATTCGCCCACACCATCATCCCGCAAATACTTGATGACCGGGGCGGTATTCATGGCATGAGCTGTCATAACAATGCAATGTTGATATCGGCTCACCGTGATATGTATCGCGATTTCATACATTCCGGGCTGAGGGTAGGCATGCTCGGATATTTTATGGATTAGGACAGACATATGAAAACATAAGCGTGCAGTAGGACAACAAACTGTTCACAGAACAGGAGCTTTTGACACTGACGGAAAGTAAAGAAAGCTTCCTTCATGTGAAACTTCTAACAGTTTTCGCAGGGTTTCCATTTTGTTTTTGTTTTTTTCTTCTACTTATTGGTCAACCAAGTTATGCTGGAGTGAAGGATTGGCATATGCCGACGCCAACCATGACCGACGTGGTAAAGAATACCAATGGAACGAAAGCGTTCTGGAGGTCCGTCTTGTTGACAAAGGTGAGCCACAACAAAACAAATACAAAACCGACTAGCTGCGTCACGAGGAACCATGAAACTATCTTCAAAAATGACCATCCTTGTACAGCGTGCAAACCCCATCCTTCCGTGCCAACAGCGGTTGGAAGTAAGGGTGGCACAATTTTTTGCGGTATCAAATGAAGAATTTCTACCACCCCTTCGCTGAACTTGGGATTTCTCATACCAGCCGCGATATGCCCACTTGCTATTTTAATGTGGACATCTGCAGGCTCAGGCATCTTGAAGTCGTACTCTGCCTTTCGTGATGGGACTTCGCTGGGGCCGGGAAGGACTTGGTTGTGGTTATTGCTCATTCGATGGAACTAAAAGGTAAGCTATTGCTGCATTAATTGATGCTGTTGTTCTTTTACCTTTATAAATTCAATTGAGATACATGTTTTCCAAGACAAGAAATGATGTCTGAATTGGCCACGAATTTTGACATATTCATATTTGAGCTTCATGTAGAAGTCGGCATCATCTCGTATGTCCTGTGAATTTTGCAACACAGAAAGCAGTGTTTCATGGAGCTCAGTCCAGGGCCTGTCAACACACCAATATATTTCCTTGGAAGTATGGCCTTTCTCCTGTAAGGTGTCATCTTGGATAAGAGTATTAACAAGTTGCTCTCCAGTGTTTCCTTGTGAAGATGAAGAATTTGGTCGTCGATGGCCTGGATCTATTGGCAAATCGATATTTGCAACTTTGCCTGCTTTGGAACTTTGAACATCCTGTTGATGGCGTGGTAGACTTAGGTCCGAATGGCCCCTACTGATCCGTGGTATCGTGTGGCAACTTTGACGGTATATCTCTGCTTCATCCAATGATAGGTGGAGGTAAACCTCTTTCAGTCCGCACTTTGAACAAGCAATATTAACCTTGAGGTTTTCCCTTTTTGAAAATAGTACTTACCATCCATTTGACCGTCACGTGGCCCACTGGACATGGAATATCCGGTTGTCGCAGTGGCCACCAATCAATGGGCGCCCTCACAATTGATTCCATGCCCAACTTCAGACGATCGAGGGTGGAAAGCGCCGGTATACTAGAGAAGCATGTTTCACGAATGCCATCGAAGTAGTGTTGTTCATTGTTGCATTGGAGCTGTGAGCTGTGTCTCAGTGGAGTTGGACGTGAGAGAAGATGCATGTTTTCGGGCTTACCAGCCCTTATAACCTCATGGGTATTCACATTTGGTGTGGGGCTCATTGGCATGGAATGTAGTTTTTTACCGTATCTGTCTTGAGCTTTGAGCGCTGCATGGCTATCAAGAAAATATTTGATATGCTGCTGTTGTACAGACTGTGCAGGAGAAGGCTCACTGTCTTTATCCTGTACACCGACGCCTGCACCGCGATCGAGAGGTTTTTCCACGTTCTGTTGTAAACCAGACTCTGCGGGATGGATTGCAAGTTCGACTTCGTTACACAGCATTTGTAATGTGTGAAGCCTCGACAATAAACTTTGGCCAGTACGAGCCAGTACCTCATTTGAATCGGCAATAACAATAGCAGGTTCGTTCTCTGGAATTATATTATCGAGGTGTAAGCTGCGAATACTTGCTTCGGCCACATTTATGCGATCTAGTATTTCATGTCAAAGAAATGAACAGAGTGTTGGGACAGGGGATTATGGTGAATGCACTGACCCAGCGCTTGTCTCAACGCCAAATACTTGTGTATTTCACGAACAAGACTTTTGACTTGCTTCATTTCAGGCATTGTCTTTGGTGAGATAACATTGAAGTTTGAAGGTCGTAACAATTTTTGTCCATCTGAATATTATTAGTAATTTTGGTCATATTTGGTGACTTATCATAACCTATACTGGTCGACCCACAGGTAAGAAAGTCAGATTGGAAATATTGGAAGAAGGCGTCGTCGGCTGCCGTTCGTTGGTTCTTTGTTGTCGATTCAGAGCGCACCAGTGCTGCAAAATAGATAGCAAGAGGGAATCTCCAGTTAAATGAAAGAGTCTCTATGATCTCTTTGACGGCCTGTAAACGATCACGCATCTCCACTGACGATAATATTGGTGTGCCGGAAGTTGGCCAAATAGCTCCACGAAGACGGATCACTTCTTTTGCCCATTCGGGCTTTTCATTTCTGAATGGTTCGTTATAGAATTTGAAATGCGGCTGTAGACGGCGTAGTCGATCATTTGTAAAAAGAGATTGGGCGGGGATTATTTCGCATTTGCCCTCGACCTTGAGCGGTCCTTGTGACAGGTATTCTCCGAAGTAATATTTGGTTTCGTTGCGAAGGTACTGTAGATTCTCAAGGTTCTGTCTGGGTGGATGATCGTCGGATTCCCAAAAAGTATGGATTAAATCCAAATCCCGAATGAATGTGCCTGTTGAAAATAGTGTCGTATCTATGACATATAAATCGATATGTTCTATACTGAGTCCAGTTTTGGAGCTCAGATGTCGATAGTAGATGTACTGAAGTGAGGAGAGCAGCGAGCTGCTCCATGAAACAAAATTGTCACTCGAGCCATCTTTTGGCCACCATCGAATATGCTGATTGAGCATTCGAGCTACTGTCCTCCTTTTATCATTGTCCAAGTTGAAAAAAATATCTTCCATGGACGAGTCCTCATTCTTGGAGGCCGCCTCTGAACGTACCCACGCCTCATTTGTCTCGCCAACGGAGTGGGGGCAGACGACGCGAAAAAGGTAACGGGGAATGTCATCCAAGGCCGTCTGCGCTAATCCACTGCCTTGCTGAGGTCTGAATAGCAATTGCTCTAGCTCTTCGGATTGATAACTCAAGGAAACATTTCCCATCGTCTCAGTCAAATCGTTCATTTTGAGGCCGTTGGTTCTTTGTCGCTGCTGGAGATCGATACCAGATGTGCGGTCAAGCTTAAATGGAGGTGGAAAAAGCGAGTTATATCTCAGGAGAGTGCAATTTGGGTAAACCGGCTTCTTGACTAGCCTTGTGCTTTGGAGAAGACTGAAACACAGGGGGAAGAAGCTGACGGCGGGCGACAGTCAGATTACTCTTGCTCCGCCCAACCCCTCTGCGGGCCCTGCCTGTAATTTGTATCGTAGCTTTACAGTATCTTACAAGATGGCGCTATCAAATATTTTGCAAGACGCGGAACGGCTAAGCAGGGATTGGTCATGGAGTAACCCAATACAGATTAGATCGGTTTCGGGCACGGGCAGGGAAACAATGCGTATATATCTAAAGGGGAATCTATTTTCGACTCTCACTGTAACAGCGGCGGAACTGTTATCTTCCTAGGTATCTGTACACTGTGAGTGATGACGGGACGGGCCGCGATGCGAACCCCTGAACCGCCCGACCGCGGCGAACGCGAAGGCTCTCCACCGCGACTGTCAAGACCGAAGCGCACCACCAGACCACCGAAAATCTACGCTCGAGAACAGGAGATCGACAACGAGCAGAGGACGACGTGACCCTCGCAAAAGAAGAGAATCGAACCCGAAGCCCAGCCTGACGTGGCAACTTCGGACCACTCCGCGATCGAGAGCGACGACCTCGATGTCAGCAATTTGGTCCAAGAGATTGCCAAACTCAGGAAAGAAATTAGACTACGAGACGAGCTACACAAGGAAGAACTACACAAGGAAGAACTACACAAGGAAGAACTACACAAGGCTAAAGCAGAGTTTGGTGCTGCCCTCGCCGAGGTCCGAGACGAGCTACAGAACCTGACAGATAGATCCTTGACATCGCAATGCCACTCCGAAGCATGCGCTCCGAGCGGCCACGACGAGATCCTCCGCGAAATTCAATCCTTACGCGAGGAAATCAGCGCTCCCACTCTCACGGGTTCTCCGTCTTATGCAGATGTGGCCCGCACTCCCCCTCTCAGCCACCTGAGCAATATACGGAGTCTCTCGACATCGAACACAACCCCAACCATGTTCACCGACACACTCTATTACACCATAGATACCTCGAAGATGGCGGAAAACGAAAACGAGAGGATATCCGCAGGCTCAATCCGGGCGGCAGTCGAGACAGAAATCCGAACCACGGAAGTCCATTCTCACTGGCGCTGTCGCGCCGTCACTGTGAGCCCGAAGAACACGAACCGAATCAGAATAGCGTGTCACGACGAAGCCGAACATCAGCTGATCAAGAAAGTGGTGGAAGCCAAGATCGGTGCGGGAGCGCGGGTGCTCCGGGATGAGCTGTACCCGATCAAAGTTGACAGCGTTAACAAAGCAGCGGTTCTGGATGAAAAGGATGAGATCCGGGCCGAAGCGGCAGCAGCCTTCAGCGAGAAGAACGAGGCCACCGTCGCGAAAATCGCATGGCTCAGCAAGAAGGAGAGTGGAAAATTGTATGGGTCAGTGGTCGTTTATCTGACCAAAGGTAGTCACGCACGGAGACTGCTGGCCGACGGGTTCTTCCACGCTGGGGGAGAGTCCGGCGTGACCAGCACCTTCGAGCATCGACCACGCCGAGGCAATGCTACAACTGCCAGGAGATTGGCCATCAGGCCTTCCAGTGCAAGAATGTCCAGAGGTGTGCAAAATGCGCTATGGAAGGCCATCGTCACAGTAGCTGCGATCAGACGGTTCCAAAGTGCGTTCCATGCGGTGGCCCTCACGAATCGTTCAGTAGGAATTGTCGGAAGCTCTACCCGTCACGCAATGAATAAACCGCTCCGAGTGATGCAACTGAATGTGAGGAAACAGGGTGCAGTGCATGACAGTTTGATGAACGATGAAGAGACACAGGACGCAGTGGCACTAGCGATCCAGGAACCCCAGGCGAGGAGGATTCAAGGCCGGCTCTTGACCACTCCAATGGGGCATCATAAATGGACCAAGATGGTTCCCTCCACCTGGAGGGAAGGGAGATGAGCGATCCGAAGCATGCTGTGGGTCAACAAGGATGTGGAAGCGGAGCAAGTGCGGATCCAGTCGCCGGACCTAACGGCGGCCGTCATTCGGCTTCCCGAGCGACGGATTCTTATCGCATCAGTTTATGTAGAGGGAGGGGACCCCTCCGCATTGGATAATGCATGCGATCACCTCCGAAAGGCAATCACTAAAGTACGGCGAGGCTCGGGAACGGTGGTGGACATCATGATCATGGGAGACTTTAACCGCCATGATCAACTGTGGGGAGGAGACAAGGTGTCCTCGGCAAGGCAAGGCGAAGCGGATCCGATCATCGACCTCATGAATGAATTTGGACTCAGTAGCCTGCTCAAACGAGGCACCAAGACATGGCACGGCGGAGGATATTCGGGGGACTGCGAGTCGACGATCGACCTCGCTCTCGCCTCGGGAATCTTGACGGACTCGATGATCAAATGTGCGATCCATGGAACGGAGCACGGCTCAGATCACGGCACCATTGAGACCGTTTTTGATGCGCCTTGGACGGCTCCAACGCAGACAGACAAACTGCTACTCGAGAATGTACCGTGGAAAGAGATCAATGCTAGAATAGCGAGGACGCTAGCTGCCACTCCGGTGGAAGGCTCCGTACAGCAGAAGACCGATCGGCTTATGTGCGCGGTGTCGGAAGCGGTTCGTGCGTTGACGCCGAAGGCCAAACCGTCACCGCACGCAAAGCGATGGTGGACGGCGGACCTGACGCAACTCCGTCAGATATACACACACTGGAGAAACCACGCCCGCTCGGAAAGACGCGCGGAGCGAAAGGTGCCACAGCTGGAGGACATGGCCGCAAGCGCCGCGAAGCAATACCATGACGCGATTCGGAAACAGAAGAAGAAACACTGGAACGGGTTTCTGGCCGACAACGACAACATCTGGAAAGCTGCCAAGTATCTGAAATCAGGGGAAGATGCAGCCTTCGGGAAGGTACCGCAGCTCCTCAAAGCAGATGGAACGGTTACCACCACTCATAGGGAGCAGGCAGAAGAACTTCTGACCAAATTCTTCCCACCGCTGCCGGACAGCATTGACGATGAGGGGACCAGGCCACAAAGAGCGCCGGTAGAGATGCCGACCATCACCATGGAAGAGGTAGAGCGGCAGTTGCTCGCAACGAAGTCTTGGAAGGCGCCAGGCGATGATGGCCTACCAGCCATAGTGTGGAAGATGACCTGGCCCACGGTCAAACACCGGGTCCTCGATCTCTTCCAGGCGTCACTGGAGGGAGGCACGCTGCCGAAACAGTGGAGGTATGCAAAGATAATCCTGCTGAGGAAACCGAACAAGGAAGACTACACCATTGCCAAGGCATGGATGCCGATCTCACTGCTCGCAACATTAGGCAAGATTCTAGAATCGGTGGTAGCAGAAAGAATCTCGCACGCAGTGGAGACCCACGGCCTGCTCCCGACGAGCCACTTCGGGGCCCGAAAGCAGCGGTCCGCGGAGCAACCACTCTTACTCCTACAGGAGCAACTCTACGCAGCATGGCGAGGGCGACGGGTGCTGAGCCTGATAAGCTTCGATGTCAAAGGGGCCTACAATGGGGTCTGTAAGGAACGACTGGTACAGAGGGGCCTACAATGGGGTCTGTAAGGAACGACTGGTACAGAGGATGAAAGCGCGAAGTATACCGGAGGTTCTGCTTCGGTGGGTTTAGGCGTTCTGCTCGGGACGAACGGCGGTCATCCAGATCAATGGACAACTGTCGGAGGCTCAGGACCTGCCACAGCCTGGACTGCCTCAGGGCTCGCCCCTGTCTCCAATCCTATTTCTCTTCTTCAACGCCGACCTCGTGCAGAGGCAGATCGACAGCCAGGGAGGAGCAATTGCCTTCGTGGATGACTTTACCGCGTGGGTGACCGGGCCAACCGTGCGCAGTAATCGGGAGGGCATCACAAGCATCATTAACGAAGCGCTCGACTGGGAGAAGAGGAGCGGAGCAACTTTTGAAGCCGACAAAACCGCGATTATACACTTCGCACCCAAGGCTCGCAAAGTGGATCAAGAGCCGTTCACTATCAAAGGACAGACGGTGGAGCCCAAAAGCAAGGTCAAAATCCTGGAGGTGCTGATGGACACGAGACTGAAGTACAAGGAGCATATTGCAAGAGCAGCGTCCAAAGGTCTGGAGGCAGCGATGGAGCTTCGACGTCTCCGAGTTCTCTCTCCAGCGACAGCGCGGCAGCTGTTCTCATCGACGGTAGCTCCAGTGGTGGACTATGCCTCGAATGTCTGGATGCACGCCTACAAGAATCAGAGTATGGCGCCGATCAACCGAGTGCAAAGGGTAGGAGCATAAGCAATTGTGGGGACCTTCCTCACAGTTGCGACCAGCGTAGCGGAGGCCGAGGCCCACATTGCCACGGCACAACACCGATTCTGGAGACGAGCCGTGAAGATGTGGGCAGACCTCCACACACTACCAGAAACCAATCCTCTACGCAGAAACACAGATCGGATTCGGAAGTTCAGGAGATACCATCGCTCGCCACTATATCAGGTAGCGGACGCGCTGAAAAATATCGACATGGAGTCACTGGAAACCATCAACCCGTTTACACTGGCCCCATGGGAAGCACGCGTGCAGACTGATGAGCCCATTTCTGAGGGATCAATTGTACCAGGCGGAGCAATACAGATCGCGTTCAGCAGCTCGGCGCGGAATGAGCTGGTCGGGTTTGGAGTGGCGATTGAGAAACAACCACCCCGCTATCGTAAAGTGAGAATGAAGACCTTGTCCGTCACGTTGAGCGCGAGAACGGAGCAAAATCCATTTTCCGCGGAGTTGGCGGCAATGGCACATACACTAAAGACACTCGTGGGATTGAAAGATTTTCGGATCACACTGATCACGAGCAACAAAGCCGCGGCTCTCACGTTGAAGAACCCGCGACAACAGTCGGGTCAGGAATTTG